CTCGGCGCCTGGGGGAGCTGCGTTTGGGGAGGTGGGCGCCGGGTACGCCGCTGAAGTTTGGGAGACTGAGAAGGACCGAGTTCCCGGGGAGGAAAAGAGTTGGCGAGCAGCGGGATCTGCTGGAGCTGGCTGGCGTTTCTGCCTCTAGTAGCAGACCCAACTCCGCGGCGGCGGCGGGAGAACTTTTTTGGGAGACTTGCCTCCCCGACATGGGGGCGGCGGCGGTGACCCCGATGGCGGGAGGGGTGATCTCTCCGGGGCGGTGGTCTTGCGGCTGGCATCGGGGGACCAGGGGGAGGGCTCTGCGCCGTGGGGAGGAGGCAGTGGCCTGAGAAAGGATTTGCGGGAAGCACCGAAAGGTCGGGGTGGGGCGGAGTTTTTTGATCTGGGTTGTGGGAGATACAGGTGTTAACTTTAGTGGGAGCTCAGAGGAAGCTGGTGAGAAAGGAGCCCCTCCGGGCTGGGGATGCCGCCGTCAAGGCACGTTGCAAAGCTGGACTGTTGCTGCTGTTCTTACGTACTTGTAACGGTGATTTGGGTGTTACTAAAAATGAGAGCGAATAGAGCCTGTGACCACCGAAGAAGAACCCCTCTTTTCTGTACAGCAGATAAGTGATTGCCAGTCACCACCTCCTCTTTGGGGGTGAGGCAGATCCTTGTCATTGAATCCACTCTGCCTTTCCGAAGGGGTTCAGACTTGGGGGAATAGTCTGAGGGCATCTCTCAAAACTGCTTTGGTTGGTTACCTAGCACACAGAAATAGCTGCGTAAATAAAAACCGTAGTGCACCCAGCCGAGTTTCCCTCCTTGCTTTAGGCGGTTAGTAGTCTTGTCCTGAAAGTTTCTTGTGCCCTAGGGATGGGAACATTTCCTAATCTTCCTGTTGGCAGCAATACACACAATTCCCATAGGATTTAGGGGTGGCAGGCCTTGATGTAGCAAAACAAAAAAAGAGATGCTCACCCCCTACTTCTGTTTCTTTCTAGAGGTACTTCCTGAGAAACAAGACTCACAATCTTGTTGCTGTGACAAAGAATATATAAAAAGATAGAGGATTGTAGCTGGTTAAGAAACAGCAGTTACTGGAATTGAAGTTTTGAAATAACTCTTTATTTGTGTGCATTAATCATTTGGTTGTAATATATCCGAAAAAATAAAAACATTGGAAGGAGGAGGTTTTAATGATTATGTAGTATTTGGGTTTCCTATTATTAGAGGTGAAGGAATTACACATATGAAGGCAGATTATTTGGCGAGTGATTGAGAGTCAAAGTATTTTGGATTTTAGTTAGACTCCCAGGGATGGCTGAAGCTAATCAGTATCCTGAAAACTTCGTAAAAAAATTTTTTTAAGTATCTGACATAATAAAGGTTGGACTTGTGCGTTTGTGGTCCTTCTGGCTCTAACTCTAATTTTTGTCAGGAAAACAAATAATACCACTTCTTCTGTTAAAGCTTTCAAACTGAACAAGTTACATCTACTCTTGTAAGCAAAGTGGTGAGGATTCTGCTAGATGGTGCTATTTGATTTAAATTTTTTTCTTCCATTCATTATAATCCTGGACTGGCTTGCCTTATGAACTAAATAGAGGTGAAGAGGCCACTTTTGGAGAATTGACAACGCCTGTCCTGGGTTAATTGTATTAATTTCCAGGTGAATGTTGTTTGAATCTAAGTCAAACATTGAGGCAGGTTCCATTTTATAGAATCAACTTAGTTTCATTTTGATGGGACAATTGATCTGGTGGTTCAGTTTTCCCCTTTATGTTTACTTGGGGCTGTACTGGCACTACTATGCGGAAGTGTAGTGTACTAACTTCTGACTCCAGGAATCCTGATGATGTCTTTGAGATGGGTGTCACCAAATTTAAAAAAATGTAAGGGGACAGATTTTTTTTTTTAAAAGCTATCTGACTGGTCTTTTAGTAAGCAAATTAGAACTGTTCTGCTTTTAAAAGTCACAGAAATAAGTGACTTAGTAAATAAGTTTTCAGTATAAATATGTAAATATTTTACTTTAACAATATTCTGAAAAATGAGTCATGAATAATGACAAACACATGAAATAAAAGTGTCAGCTTTGTAATCTGTCAAGAAATGTTTTCTAACATTAGTTTATAGTGGAAAGCTGACAAGTGCTTACCTATATGGTACATTTGCTTTCTTGTTCATTAAGGCGTGACTATGGTATGGAATACTTGAAATTAATTTGTAGATCTTAGCTTCTATAATTTCAGTATTCAGTTCCAAACAAACAACAAAATGACCAGAGAAAGGTTAATTATTGTTTAAAAAACCAGATAGATCAAGTCCATACAAAGGTTTGGATTGTAATATAGAGAAGATGATTGAAAACCCTTGGAGGGAGGTGGGATGTTTGTAGAAATTTCAGTTCATTGATCTGTTAGATCATTTCCCACTTTTGCAGCCTCTCTTTGTCAGACTGATCACAATTGTAATTAAGTAACTATGTAATTGATTATTTAATGTCTAGGTTCTTCTAAAATACAAGTTTCTTGAGGGCAAGTGATGACACATCTAATTTCTCTGAGGTATCCTTGACATTAAGTATAGTGCCTTCAAATGTCAACAGCAACAGATATTTAATACAGGCAGATGTTATACTCAAATGAATTTTTTAATGAAAACATTTTTTCCAATGATCTCCAAAATACTTTGAAAGTTTTGAGTTCCACCTTCTCAAGTTCAGTTGTATTTCAAAAAATAACCAATTATAACTATACTAATTATTATCTTCTATGTGCCAGTTGCTGTGTTGAGCAAATTATTTTTATTCTCTGATTCTCCCCAAAATTCTGCAAGATATTGATTCTCCCCCCTCCTCCCCCACTACAGATATATAAGAGAACTAAAACTCTGACTAGTTTAAAAGTAACTGACCAAGAAATACCGGGCTAGCTGGATTTGTAACTTGGATTTCTCTTTTTGAACCTGTGACTGAAGCTAAATGATACATTTTTTTGGTGTGCCCAGATTGCCTTCTTGATCTAGGGTAGGATGCTACAGATTTAGGTAACAGCATTACATAATCAGATATAATAGATTTTAAAAGATTTAATCAGATATGCAGTCTTAATCATGAGTGTACCCTGAGGCTTATACCTTCATTTTGACAGACTGGTATGGTGTGGGGAAGGCATAGAAATTTTAGAACGGAAAGTTAGAAGCCTAAAATAATGAAGAATTATTCTTTAGATTTTTCTCCCAAGAATTTTGTTTTATTACTTACATTTCAAAATTAGACATTATGATTGTGCACAATTCCTTTATGAAACATTGCTGAAGTTTAAGCCACACTGTCACAGAAAGGACTAAGCAAATAGAGGAGTACTGATTATTTTTTATTCAACTATTTGATCCTTTAAAATTACATAGTAACATGGTTCTTCTGTAAGGTAGAGTTGGGCATAAGATGGACATGCTACGCAGACAGACTTAGTAAAGTAGCCAGAAATTATAGAAATCAAACTATGAATCTAACTTCAGACTTTGAAAACTTTGGTTTTTAAATTATAAATCATTCATGTGAAGATACCAAAAAATTAAGTACCACATACTCATTTTTTAAGTGGCTACAGTTTTAAGTGGTTATAGTCTGATGAACATTTAAATACTACTCTATGTTGAAAAGAGTTTATAGGGATTAGAATTTGCCAGCATTACCTTGTTCTCCTTTTTTACTATTAATTTCCACCCTAAAAATTATAAACCATATTTTTCTTCCTTCCTGAAAGAAGTAAAGACAAGTGCAGAGTACAGATCATTCCAGAAACTTAATTGGTGAGCACTTTTACAGTTTGAATTTTCTAAAACTAATGAAGGAATTCCTTTTGGGGATGAAATTCTCTGCAAGATACTACCTGACTCTTCCTTTACCAGACCTCAAGATGTTGCCTCCAAAATATTAAACAACTTGCATCTAATATATCAACTGTGAGAACTTTCTATCGACTTATCTCTTTTCTATTATTTTAAGCATATGGAAAAAAATGTTTCTGAAGGAACATAGCTAAAGAAAAGAAAACCTGAGATGTTGAAAGTTAAATGTTAGTATTGTTTATCCAGTGTTTATTTTGACTCATAAATTGTATTTATATTGTCATGTATTTTTTCAGGAAGAAAAACTAAGATTGATTTCTACACTTCAATCGTGATCTCTTCAATTATAATTAGAAGATAGATTTTTTTTTTAAGTTAAAACATTCTGTGGGGGTGTGTTAG